TAAGGATTTTATCAGACAAGGAAAGCACATAATTGGAGTACATCAACTGCTAGCTATCTAAGGCTTCATATTACCGACAATTTTCTTTTTTCAAATGTATAATTTCTCACATGAAAGAGGAGTAATACAAGTTGCTTATTTTCATTTCTTCTACTCATAAAATACCCATAGGGACACTGAAGGTAAGATCTTCAGGTATTTCTGAAAGCTTTCAATGCAATTTTAGCCCTAGAGAAGATGCATAGCTCCATTTTTGGCATTTTCCTAGGGAAAAGAGCACAGGCACCTAGTTTACATCTTCGGGCAAGTTGTGGTGTGGACACGCCTGCAACAAGTTACACATACAGACTGAACAGGGGATGGGAATTTCCCCATTAGCTTAACACGGTCGCAGAAAACGGTGCTGAGCAGCTGACCGCGGGTCTTGTTCGGTTTCACTCTCCCACTGCCCCAGGAGTGGAAGAAAACCCAGCAGCACCAGCGCACCCAAGGCTTGTGAATGCCGCCCCGCCAGCTGCGCAGCGTGGCCCTGGCACTGCCAACCGCTCTCCCACTGCAGACTCCAGGGACAGGTTTTGGAGTTACCAGATCCACCTGTCGTAGTTTAACTCCTCCGGCTAGCAAAATACCATGAAGCCACTCTCACAAATCCCCCTCCCCTCCTGCAGTGGAGGGGAAGAATCGGAGGAAAAAGAAATAAGGAAGCTCGTAAATTAAGAACTACTTACTAATTAAATCTAAATTGATATATACAACTAATAATGAATAATTAAAAGAAAATAAAACATATGATACAATATGATACAATTATGATACGGTCAGCCACTGACCAATGAGTGACAGTGAATCTTGTCACTTTTAGAGGAGCCCCTATGGAATGAAATACTCCCTCGGTCAGTTGGGGTCAGGTGCCTGAACTGTGTGTCCCAGCACTGCCTGTAGCGAGACCGCGAGAGCTGGGAACGCAGCTGCAGGATCAGAAGGGGAGAAAGACCTTGAATTCAGTGCAGGCATTCCCCAGCGCCAGCTGAGAACTTATCAGTGCTGCTCTCTGCATCCAGGAACAGCCTCCTAGCAGCCACGGTAAAGAGAGTTAACTCTTTCCTGGCTGAACCCAGCACACCACCTCTGCCAGAACTTTTTTTTGTCATCTGTTCTCCATTGGAATAACATTTCAAGGCTCTGTCTATACATACTGATCCCCTTGCAGTACAAAGATCATTTCCCTAGTTTGCATGCCCTCCCACCAGGGCTGCTGCCTGCAGCACAGCTCACAAGTTGCCCCCATTCCCCAGGCAGCAGACTCTGAGATGTGGTTGATCGTGAGCTGCACACCGAAACGTTTATTTACCACCCAGCTCATCATGGGATTTTTATAACTTAGACTGTTTATACAATGTCCTTCCTTCAAGACTTCGTAATTCCTGTGGGTGGAAAAGAATGTGTGCGTTTTGAAGATCTTGATCATTTCTTACGCTGTCTTCCAGATGCCACCACGTGGTCCACATTGTGGTGCCCACCCTGGGCACACGGTAGCAGCAGAAGCCTTACCCGTGTTGCAGAGAGCAAGCACTTCCTTCACACTGTGAAACACAGTTCATCATGCTGTGAGGTTTCTCTTCCCTGTAGGGATCAACGTTCATCTCAAGATTAGCTGTACCCCATTTCCCAAACCTCCTTCTGAGACATCCATCTTACTCTTGAGACATCCAGTTCTCACCTGTGGCCAAAGCCATCTTCTTTTTTAAGATTTTTAATTTCATTAGAGTTCCAGGTGCCCTGGCCATTCTTTTCCAGGTTGCTGCCAGTTTAACAGGCATACTTTGGTTCCCCAGGACAGCAGTGAAAAGCTCTAAATAAAACTTAATCCAGAAGAGGCTTAAAATAGCACTGTCCTGGGAAGCTAGATTTTTGTGCTCATTTTTACATTTTGGAAAACCCACTGCTTCCTTGACAGGAGAAACAAAAATATTATTTTCATGAAGGTTTTTTTTCCCACTTGGTTTGGATTTTGTGGGTTGTTTTGGGTTTTTTTTAGAATCATAGAATTGTTCTGGTTGGAAAAGAACTTAAAGATCATCGAGTGCAACTGTCAACCCAGCACTGCCAAGTCCACCACTAAACCATGTCCCTGAGCGCTACATCAACTTATTTCTTAAATCCCTTCAGGGATGGTGACTCCACCCCTTCCCTGGGCAGCTCATTCCAATGCCTTACAACCATTTCCATGAAGAAATTTTCCCTAATATCCAATCTGAGCCTCCCCTGGCACAACCTGAGGCCATTTCCTCTCATCCTATCACTCATCACCTGGGAGAAGAGACCAACCATCACCTCTCTGCAACCTCCTTTCAGGTAGTTGTAGAAGCTGTAGCAGCTTTCAGGAAGCTGTATTCGTTACAGAGTCAACACCATCCTTTCAGCACAATGAACCACAATAGCAACTTGACAGGAAGGCCACCAAGGCACAAGTTGTGTTAAGAACATAAAGCCTAACTAGGGATGCACAGCTACCACTGGCTCCCAGAGATGTTCTTCCCCAGTAATTGCAACAGTCAAGCTAGAAGGGGGTATCGACATAGCTGATACGAGATACTCATAATCTGACCAAAGATGCTTCCTAGAAGCAGTTTTCATAGAGCACGCATTCTTACTGACAGCACCAGCTACTTCAGATATCAGGCTGGTTCCTAAATACACGACAGCAGCTAATAGTTATCACTGGTCATCCCTGCCCAATTCTAAACCACAATCAAATTTTTCTCCCCCCGGCCCAACAACGATGGACCTCCAGTTGCATTCGTGGTTCCCAGTGTGATAGCAGGCTGATAAACACCACATCAAGCCACTGAAAGCGGAGCACTTCAGAAAGGATCACGACCAAACCGTTTGCTTCATCAGCCATTGGCGTTCCCCTACACCCGCTGAACACTGTCATACAGCTCTGCTGGTGACCCAGAGCAGGTGAGCACGCCTCCACCACGTCACTGCTAAGGCACACTGTCCAAACTGCTGCCAGTCTGGAGTGACCCAACAGGAATTACATTGAGACAGAGCTGACAGCTCTCCCAGAAGCCAGTGTTGCCTGAGTTTTAGAAGCAGCAGCTACTGGCACCCTGACATGAAGGAATAGCAGCAACCTAAAACTCAGCCATGCCTATAGCTTTTGCCTCTTTATCTGTGCAGTAACTTGAAAGATACTGGCAAGGTGGAAGTAGTCAAGTGCAATGGTGGCTTCTTTTAGAGCCATATTACAGGCATGCTAACAACCATCCTTTAAACACATGTGTTCCTATATCCCATAAAATCAAAGACACTTCAGAGACAGGAGAGTGAAACCCTGGAACAGGCTGCACAGAGGTGGTAGAATCTCTGTCCTTGGACACAGAACCACAGAATGGTTTGGGTTGGAAGAGACCTTAAAGATCATCTAGTGCCAACTCCCCTGCCATGGGCAGGGACACCTTCCACTAGACCAGGTTGCTCAAAGCCTCGTCCAGCCTGGCCTTGAACACTTCCAGGGATGGGACATCCACAGCTTCTCTGGGCAACCTGTTCCAGTGCCTCATCACTCCCGGTGCAACTGTTCAATGCCCCGGGCAGCCCATCATAGCTCTGAGTGGAGCTGCTCTAAGCAGAAAGATGCACCAACTGACCTTGGGAGGCCTTTCCCAACCTGCATTATGCCACAATTGTTTGAAAGGTAATCCACTTAACCTGGCACGTACTTAGGATGAACTAGATCTGCTCGTACCCTACAGACACGGGGCAGTCCTGTTCTCCAGCTACAGAAAAGTACAATTCACAGGGACAGAGGCAATCTCCCTAAGCCTACCCTCAAAGTTACAGAGCATTACAACCTCACAATTATTAGTAAGATTTTGAAGCTTTTATAAGCACTTCAGTATCTTCAGGGTTTTTTTGGCTTAATAGTGTCTTGTTTAGCTTAGATCAAATTAGCAGTCAACTGCCAGAGAATGTGTCTGATTAGTCACTGTAAACCTTTACAATCAGTAGATAAATTCTAGCACTGCACTAGTAACACTAACTGTGCCACCCTCCACTTTACTATTCGCTCTACAACACCCTCAAATTCTCTAATATACCTTTTTTTTTATGCTAAAGATCTGATTGCTTTACTTACCCTAATAACTGACAACAAGCTGGCTTTGGTCACCTGAAAGACGAGGCAATGTTGGAAGATTACCAAGTCTAAATCGTGACTGACACACATATGTTGATTTCATGGGCAGTGTGATAAATACACAACCACTTATATATCTCCATGCTTAGAAATCTTCGTTCTTGTCAGGAAATTTGATGTTTCATTAAGCTGTAGCAAAGAAAAGACACTGAAAAAAAAAATCTATTAGATGAAGGTGCTAAATTCAACTAAGACTGCTTCTAAGCCCCTGAAACTGCAGAGGGCAGTGTTATCTTCTCTACATAGTAAAAACTGTCATCCTTAGATAGTGACCAGGAATCAGATTCCTTTATTTCTAGATGTATTACAGTCAACTTCCAGCAGCTGACAGCAAAGATAGAGCATAATGAAGTCCTCAACATTCATTTCCACCAGGGTTTAATCTAATCCTAATCATTTATTATAAGATTAATTTGCTCCACTAAAGCAAGATGAGGAAATTCCTACAATAAAGACAAGGTATCACTTTCTCATAAGGATTAAGGGCATTTAACTCACCTTCCAAGTACTAACATAAACCACATACAAATAAAAGAGGCTAACAGCTCAAAGATCTGCATATTGATCAACTCAATGTACATTTACTGGAAGTAAGAAGCATGCTAATACAGAACACATAATCCAGTCCAGACCACCACAGTGCAATGTAAAAACTGCTTTATTGTCTGCAGTTAACAGGCTACAATTAAATTATGATTCCAAGCATTAAGCCAGCTGCTTATAGTATAAGCTGCCATCATAGTCACATGGAATTGGACGAAGAGATGCTAGTCACCGCCTTGAACCGGAATCATTTCTACTTCTTGGGCATTGAAGCGACACCCAGCTCGTAAAGAACATAGACTGTTCCTGAATTAAGAGACAGAAAAGATGTTTTCAGAATGGTAAACAGAATTTCTTTCAAGTCAGCTTTCCTTTCCCAGTTTGTTCCAGAAGAAATATTGACAATAAGCAGCTGCAAATTCAGACACAACACATTTCCATAGCCATGTATGAACTACTAGGGGGAAGGCAATTCATATTTTAGAGGAAAAAAATCTTTAGTTGTTCACACATAGACTGCACAGGAAATAAAAGGGGAGAGGCATATTTATAGAATTTACACATATGATCATAAAGTAATGGTTACTCATTTGTATCAGAACTGAAAATCCATTAGATCAACAGGGTTAAGTTGGCAGCTATTACAAAACCATGTAACAAGCAACATAAAGGTTAAGTGTAAATAGTATCCACGCTTGGATACATTCTGCTAGCTTGCACAGTATGTGGAAGCTCAGCACATCAAGTATCACCTAGAACTAAAGAGTCAGGCTAGTGACAAAACCGGTAATTAGAGCACATACAGATACATTTTACTCCTCTTCAGAATAAGCTTTCTCATCATACATGAATTCTGGAGGAGTATTCAACCTACAGTTTTAGTAGCTGGGGGAGGTGAAAAAAGCCATCTAAAGAGCTAAACTTGAGAAAGCACAAATACATACTATGTTCAGATGTTGGTTTTGGGTTTGGGTTTTTCTTTTCCCCTCTCTACATGCATTTTGCATGTTCTAAAGAAAAGACTGAAGGAACTCCCTGACTAATTTACAGAGGAAATGCCAGTCATGTTGGAGATTGTACCAAGAAAAAGTATTTTAACATTAGCAGGTTGGAAACTGTACCAAAGCATAAATATTCTAGTATTAGCCTTACCAAAAACTGCAATACCCATGGTGACTCTATACAACAGGGCATCCATTACACCACCTTTAAGATGCACTGGGATGCCATTATCCTCCTAATGGAAACAACAGACAAAGAGAATATTTAAATACAGTTCTTGGAATATTGTGTTAATGTAACTAGAATTACCCATAATAATAATTACTTCCCCAAAATACCTTCCCAACTCCCAGAAGACACTGACCCTTATTTAGATTCCGCTTTGTCTTTCAAGCTTTCCCTCTGGTATCAGGTGATCACTCCCTAGATATGCACATTCATTTCTAAAGCAGTGATTGGCAGATGCCTAAACGCTTCTGACATCAGTTGCCAGCCCCTCTGGGTGCACAGGACATCACTATCGTTAACTTCCCACCGTCTCCAGAACAGTTAATCCCTGCTACAGGGAGCGGCAAGGGGAGGAGCCTCTACTGTCACCTGGTGTGATACAGGAAATTGTTTTGCTCCACCTGAAGTAAAACTCCTAGACACCAGATCCATGTGATCTTTACCCTCGTCAGTGAGTTCATACTGCTCTGGAATACAAGCCTGCCTCCAGTGCTAGTGACCGGCAACACAGCCCAGCCTAACTTGCTGCCCCACGAGAAAGGAATGGGAGGAGGAAGACATATGGCCAGGGTGATCTGCCAGCAGAAACTGAACCTCTGACCTCACCCATCACCAACATCCTGCTTCCCCTTGGCTCACGATGAATACTGAGCTCCTTAGCAGCGTCTCAACAAGACTGGCTTTCTCTTTCAGGGGAAAGGAAAGCAACAAGACACAAAATACTATTAAACTGGGGCATCTAACATACTTTTTCCCTTTCACATTGCTGAAGCCCAGTCTACTGTATCTTCAGTATGATGCTGCTGCTCCAGGCCATGGCTCACAGCTGGCAATATGCTCTTGAGTATCCACCGCTTTAGCATCTGAACTCCTAGTTCTTACTAGGTGGCCCTATCAATCAGGAAGAGAGTAATTCAGAAATTATTTTAAAATATTCAATAATTTTTAGGAGTGAATCCAATCCCTTACGACTTTCACTGTTTTCCTAACTGAGAAGTACAATAATTTCACATCCTGATTGAGAATTATGGGGCTCATCTGTGACGCGTGGATACTGCTGTAAGATCACAGGTTTAACTTTTCCCTGTACTTCTGACCTCTCACGTGCTGTTTTTCTATTTTTTCTTAATACATTCTCCCCTATCTCATCTCATTTCAGAGTACTTTGTCTTTATCTTTGTGCAGTACCTATGACTCAAAAAAAAAAAACACCCTCGGGGACAAATCATTTCACAGGGTAAAAAAGCCTAAATAGTCAGCAAGTCAAGTAATACTCCTCCTCTCTGTAGAAAGTAACCACTGATTCCAAACACTGCAGTCATACAGCTGATTTCAAGAAGTCACCTCAGATGTAAAGAGGACTTTCACCGGTTCTCCAGAAACAAAACATATGCAATTACAGCCTGCTCAAACCTTGTCATCCTACTAACATTCTACTATCAGTGCTCGCTCAATACCTGAAAATGCTTCTGCTTCTCAGGGACTCTATTTTGTAACTGCCTGCGCGAAGCAGTGCTTATGGTCCTCTGGGAAATCTGGTGAAAACCCTGAAATAAAAGATAAAAGGGTATTTTAAAAACAGTGAAATTTTCCAGCTATATCCACACTGGAGTATAAATATTTTCTTTTTAAAATAAGATGGAAGAAGGAGGACCAGGAAAATGTGGAAGTATTAAAAAGGAAAAAAGAAAATCACAACACAAACCACCAAAACCCACTTTTTAATTGAGACAATCTTTCAACAGACTACATAAAAGACTGATTAACCGGTTACGTAAAAAGAGAACAACTCCAGATAATGAGTTTTATTAAAATACAACAAACTTAGGGATCTGCAGCATAACTTTCATAATTAACACACTTTTGGGGGAACAACCCCTCAGATCTCCGTTTTAGGCACAGATTTTCTGTGTCTGCCTCTAGCGGTAAAGGCGTGAATATTTAAGACAAACGTGTCCGTGCAGACAACGATCTCCTCTCACCTGCAGTTCACCTGCTAGCCACCCGCACAGGAGCTCACCTTCACAGAGGTGAAGGAGGCACCCACACACACCGTTTAAAGACACCCTACTGCCTCCTGAGCTAGAATCCGTTTCTGCAGTCGGATCGTATGTGTGCTCGTGAGCACGGGTCTGGCAAGGAAATCCAAGGCAATCCAATTCTCCCGATGGCTCGAAGCCTGTCTCCGTTAACACGTCAAGGCGCCAAGAGCCCACGTACCTCTAAGCTGCCACCAGCCCCCTTTCAGCAACACGGACCCTCCCTCGCAAAATTACCACCACGAAAAACGCAACCACGGGGCAAACCCCCAGGTGACGGTGGTTGCAAGCAGCGGAACACCACCCCTCCTCCCCTCACCTATCCCACATAAACAGGCTACAGATTCTCCTTCGTTAGAGCCGTATTATGGGAACGACGTGGAGTCACTGACTCAGCTCCTAAAGCTCAGCACTAGGTGGAGCGAGCGGGCCAGGACCCGAAACGGAACGCTTCC